GCTCGGCCCCATTTCTGCACCTTTGTGCACAGCCCTGACCTGACTCCTTTGTTTCTATTCTGCAGTAACTGATTGGATACAGGATGGTCCTGGCCCCTTAGGGATAAAGCTGGAAAGTGGGAGAGCGGAGAATCAGTCCTCTGGGGGGATCATCTTCAAGGCTTTAGAAAAAGAGATCAGTGTTAGGTGGAAATCGTACAGAAGCGACCTTGAGGGGTCATCCAGCACTAGTGTCCTCCAGGAAGGAAGGCCCTCGTGTCTACATTCACTTCGTACTCACGAGGGGCAGGCACTGTTCCAGGTACTTTCCAAGCGGTCACTAATTTAATTCTCTCTGCAGCCTTACAGGGCAAATAACATTATTATTCCCACTTTACAGCTGAGGAAAGTGAGGCACAAAGAGGTTAGGGGACTTGCCCAAGGTCACACAGCTAGTAAGGCGCACAGCTAATTTTCACATTCAAACGGTCTGGCTCCAAAGCTCCCACCCATTATCCACCTCACTTTCCTGCCTGTAGAACTGGGAGAGCCATCTGGAGAGGGGCCTCTGCTGCTTGGCCTTGTTCTGAATTGTGGTGCTTTCTCTACCCTTTTGCTCCTTGCCTTCTGGATCTCCTTGTCTTTTTTTTTTTTTCATCCTCACCTGAGGACATTTTTTCATTTTTTGTTCAGATAGAGTAGGAGGAAGAGAGAGAAACATCGACGTGAAAGGGACACAGCTAGTGGCTGCCACCCGCATGACCCAACCAGGGCCAGGGACAAACTGCAACCGAGATACGGGCCCTTAGCGGGAACCGAACCTGGATCTCTCCGGACCGCAGGCCGACACTCTAACTGCTGAACCAAACCGGTCAGGGCTGGATCTCCTTGACTTTTTACAGCTTGTTGACCTATGTGATTTCAAATTCCAGGAGAGAGATCACCCCCAGATAATTCTCTATCTCCAAGAACTAGTTTGCTGTTTAATTCTCCAAGATTCCTGATAGTTACTACTATGTTCTATGATCACTGCCTGGCACCTTTCTGTATTATCCTCCCCACCCCCCACCCCACACACACACACTGTCCTTCTGGGAGTCTTCCCAGGCTCTGGCTCCCAAGACCTCCCACCTGCTATTGATGATTCCTAGGTGCTGGCTACCTGCTCATGACTTCCAACTCCATTGGTGCTCAAGGAGCCTGATCCTATGAACTGACTTCCTTGCTCCTTGACCTGTCCTCACTCACCTGCACTAATTTGAACTTTGCAGCCTTAGGCTGCCTGCACTCACTTGCACACCTATTCCTGGCCCCTGATGCCAGCCTAGGCCAGCTGTTTGCCTGGAGGGGCGCCAACCTTCTCAAAGAGGCACAGGGATTTGAAAGCCTCCCTTAAACTTTTGTTTCTATAGACAGAAAGTTTGTGATGCAGATTTAATAATTTTTTTTTTCTTTATTGATTTTAGAGAGAGAGGAAGGGAGAGAGAACATCGATTGGCTGCCTCCTGCATGTCCCCCACTGGGAATTGGGCCCACAACCTGGGCATGTGCCCTGACCTGAAATCAAATCGGCAACCTCTTGGTTCATGGGTCAATGCTCAGCCACTGAGCCACACTGCTGGGCTATGATGCAGATCTTAACTTTCTCTTAACCTGTCTTTTTTAAAAAACTTGTCTTTGCCATTCTAGATGAACATGCCAATTACTAGGCACTTTCTAATAAAAATAGCCCTTTACAAGTTTGAGCCATCAAAGCAAGACTATTATTTATTTATAGATACTCCCATTAAAAAAGTATTATAGATTTACATACAGTGAAACAGGAGAAGAAAATGAGAGGGAAAAACGCAAGTTACCTGTACCTTTTTTTTTTCTTTTGGCTAAAATGATGTTTCATGTTAATATCTCCCAGTCGGGTCCATCTTCTGGACTTGAAATGTTTTCTGGCTTCTTCTGTTTGAACAAGGCAGCACCCCAGACTGTCTACAAGTCGCTGAGTAAGTCAGAATAGAGAGATATACTGATATCACATCTTCAGGTCCTTTCCCCATGAACCTACCTGGTTCCTCTCCAGCTGGCCTTTAGGGACCTGCATCAAGTCACTCGTGATCTTGGACTCAGCAGCAGCTTAGGCTCTCCTGTGACCTGCAGGCCTTCCGTCTCATTCATGCCTTGCTCGTCAGTTCCTCTTGATCTGTGTGTTACCCAGTTTTTCTTCATTGGCTAGTTTCCAGGTTATTCCTGGTCAATGACCCAAATTGCCCAAGTCTTTTTGGATTCTAGGCTGGTCTTTTGAGGCACAACCTTCATGGGCCAGTTTTGGTCTTCTGCCAGTGTATAGCGCTTACTCTTTATTTATGCATCCCAGTTACTAATGGAGACATGGAGGGTGTTTATCTTCCTTTTGGACCTCCTGGGCCCTGAAGGGGAAAAAACAACAACTCTGGGTTCTTCCCCTGAAGCTTTTAGTGCCTAGTTCTCCTTTTCCTACTAAATTGTTTCCGTATGGAACAAGCAGTTCGAGAGATGATTTCACCTCTTGTCATCTTTCCTATGTCTTCCTTGAAGTGGGTAAATTCCTCCTGGCTGTTATTGGTTCCCTGCCACTACCCCCCTCCCCCTTTTAGAGATCTCTAAATCACATCAAATTGTTTTATTTTTCATATCACCAAAGGTGCCTTTTAGTCTTGGATCGTCAGCCAGCTCCTTCCAGTTAATGAGGATCCAATTATGAAAGGCAGCCACTCCACCTCCTCCATCTTCTGCCCCCACCCCCAGAGCCTGTCAGGATGACTTCTCCCTGGTGAATGTCAGCTGTTGTGGTTGTCTCCTAGGAATGGCATGTGTTAAGGACTTTGTGGTTTGTATCTGAGCAGTTAGGGGTGCCCTTGTAGGGGAAGGAAAGAGAGGAGGATTTTTTTTTTTTGCTTCTGCACAGGAAAGCCTGGAGCCTGATCCCCTGAGTGAGGCTTGTCGTTGGGTTGGGTTCACAGGGAAGCAGGAATGGCAAGAATTTATGAGGCTGCTGCTCCCAGAGGGTGGTTACCCCTCTTGGGGGAGGGGTTCCACAGTAGCAGATATTTTGGGATCATTTGTTAGTGTCTCATTTATACCATCTGTATGAAAATAAACAGAAGCTGCAAGCAGAGCCTATCATTCCCGGAACAGAGTGGGGTCTGGCTTCCATCTCTCAGGGATGGCTTAGCAGGGAAACACACAGCAGCCTCTGGAGTATTTCCTTGGGGTCTACTGTGGGAATGAATAATCTGGAGGTGGATAAGGAGTTTCTAAACTTCCAGAGATAGATCCTTACCCCACTCACTGAATTTTGCTCTGCCGTGAAGTTACCATTCGTTCGTTCATTCATTTATTTATAATTCAATGAGTATTTGTTGATTACTCTTCTTATGCCAGAATTGATGCTGTGCACTGGGGTCATGGGGGCAACAACCAGCTATGACTGCTGCTTCCCCCCCTGAAATCACCCCTCCACTTGCTAAGTTTAGGCCACGTGGCACACTTTGCCACTCAGGAGTGTGTTCCTCCAGTTCAGGGAGGTCCTGGGGCTTATGGTGGAGGAGGGGATTTTGCTCTGTATTTTTGCTTTGCTCCATACCTGGGGTGTGGCACCTCAGTCCCTGTTAGGGGTTTGTGTTCTGTGGAAGCACCAAACACTGAGCAATTTCCAGCCTCCCATCTCCTGTCCGTTTCAACTAGATCAATTAAGCATCCTTTTGGGGTCATTGACTTCTTACAGCATCAGTCCAGGTCTAGAAGAGGGGATTTTGTAGGGTTTTCTCCTCTTCTGAGAAGGGATTTGAGTTTCCTTTGTCAGTTTGGCTCAGTTGCCTAATCACCCCCCTCTGCCTGCTGCGTGTCCATATGGATGAACCCAGGTACCCCTGTGCCACACAGAAATAGTCCTTTTCCTTGTGTTCCTTGGAGGATGCCTGGGGGTCGTGCAGCTCACCCACCTGGCCTGGAGCGGCCTCCCGCGGGCACTCTGCAGCCCTCTGCATTGCAGTCCCCACTCTGGAGGGTGGAGGGGGTCTTTCTCCCTGACCCTGGACCCAGGTCCGGCTCAGGTTTAGAGAGGGTCACAGCACATTGACCAGCTGCAGGTGAGACATCTCAGTGGCCATTTCTGTGTCTGGGCTCCTACCCAAATTGCCATGGGGTGATCCAGGGAACTTCCTAAATGCGGATCTTAATGCGAAGCAAAGTGGCGGGTCCTTTGTGCAAGAGGATGATCCTCTACTATGGGTACTGTCTGGGCGTCTATACTAGAAGGTCATCCCTTCTGCATTAACATATCTTGGAACCCAGGAGGGGAAACAAAAAGGTCAGGAAGAGGAAACTTTGGTTCTAAAATCCAGATCAGGAGTCCAGCTCTGGCTCTTTCCCATTCTAGCTGTGTGACTTTGGGCAAGTCATTCGACCTCTCTGAGCTTCACCTTCCTCATGTACAAAATGAGAATGTGGTTTAGATAAGCACAGGGTCTCCTCTAGCTCTAAGACTATAACTGAATGTGAACGAGTCTCAGATCCTTTTCTGAGATGGCCTGGGAGACACTGGGTGCTAGGGACGGGGAGAAAGGATGTGCCTCCTTGCTCATAGTAGGTAGTCAATAACTGGATGGTTGGATGGATGAATGAACAAATGGATGCATGGGTAGGAGCCCTGTAAAGGACCAGGTAAGCCTGGCTGTATTGGAGGACACACTTTCTGCCCTGCCAACTATGCCTTGGAAGTGACCATTTCTTACCCACGAGCTTCTCCTAGTAAGGAGAGGGAAGAAATAAGAATTATCTTGGTGTTGACCTAACTAATTTCTGTCTTTCTTTTTTTGTTTTATCCTCACCCGAGGACACTTTTTTCCATTTTTTGTTCAGATAGAGTGGGAGGGAGACAGGGAGAGAAACATTGATGTGAAAGGGACACATTGAGTGGTTGCCACCCGCATGATCCAACCAGGGCTGGGGACAAACTGCATCCGAGGTACGTGCCCTTAGCGAGAACCAAACCCGGGTCTCTCTGGACCACAGGCTGATGCTCTAACTGCTGAGCCAAACCATCCAGGGCTAATTTCTGTCTTTCTTTCATGCCCTAATCTGTCTTCCCTTATAACCTTTCTGGGTCTGGTATGGCCAGAATATGTGTTTGCCTTGAGAGGCAGGAGACCATGGAGGGACTTTTCGGGCACTGGGTTCCTCTGGGAAATTAATGCTAATTAATCTCATCTCTTTGCCTCAGTCTCCTCCTCATAGATACCAGAGGCACACACTCACCTGTAACTTCGATTTGCTTCATTTCATATTCAGGGTGTCTTAACAAGCAGAACGGGATGTGCGATTTGAGGGGAGGCACCGTGCCAGACCCAAAATAGCTCCCTCTTAAACAGGTGCAAAGGTGCTTGAGATTCCACCGTTATAACCCACTCTCTTGGGAGGCGGTACGTTGCTGTTTAAATCCCAGCTCTTCCCGTTTTAACTGTGTACGGTCTTGAGTGAGTTATCTTTCTAATCCTCGGCTTCTTCCTCCGTGTCACGGGCACTGACCCAGTCTTATGGGGCTAATGGGAGGATTATGCAGTGCCAAGCACATAGCAAATGCTGAATCAATGAGCCGATGGTTGGATTAAGCATTACCTTAAGTGCCAAGGATAACCTTGATGTGAATTAATGCATTAAGTTTCTCTCTATAACAAAATGGACTTAAGGGCAGCAAGAGACACTAGGGGTTCTGGGGGAAGGGGTTCAGGGGACACTAGTGAAAGAAAGGATGAGGCCCTGGCAAGACAAGGGGACATGAGCCCCGTGTGGCCCCTCTTCTGGCTGACAGCGCGTGTCCTGCTCTTGTCCCTCCTGCTCCAGGCCAGACTGCCACTCCTCCTGCTATGATGCCTGGGCAGATCCCGGACCCTTCCGTGACTGCGGGCTCTCTGCCAGGGCTCGGCCCCCTGACCGGACTCCCCAGCTCGGCCCTGACTGCAGAGGAGCTGAAATACGCCGACATCCGCAACATCGGGGCCATGATCGCCCCCTTGCACTTCCTGGAGGTGAAACTGGGCAAGAGGCCTCAGCCGGTGAAAAGTGAGGTGAGCGAGCCTTGTTCTCCCAGGCAGAATCCAGGGGTAGGACGCCTGGGTTGGAGTCCCAGGTCTAGCCCTACACCACGGTGTGATCTCAGCATGCTGTTCAACGTGGGGTCTGAGGACCGGTAGCGTCCATGTCACCCAGTGCCTTGTGAAAAATGCAGAATCTCAAGCTCTAGCCCAGACCTTCTGAAGTAGAGTCTGCATTTTAATAAGTCTCCCTGGGGAATTCCTGGACACATTAAAGTTTGAGAAGTCCTGGGCTAGGACAGCACGCTGAACCTGTCTCTGGTTCTTTGAGGGGCAAGGGAAGAGTGATTAATAACAGTAATGGATAGTAATATATTGGGCCCAGCCGGAGTGGCTCAGTTGGTTGAACATTTTCCTGTGCACCGAAAGGTCGCTGGTTGGATTCCCGGTCAGGGCACATGTCTTGGTTGTGGGTTGATCCCCAGTCAGGAAGTGTACAGAAGGTAACTGATGTTTTTCTCTCCCTCTCTCTCCTTTTTCTTCTCCTCCTCCCTCTCTCCCCTTCCTCTCCCTAAGCATGAGGATTATAAAAATAATAATAGAGTAAAATAGAAAATGTAATGTCTTTAATAATAATAATAATAATAATAATAATTTAGTGGCGATCTCTCTGGGGTGTTAGGAGGACCAAGGGAGATAATGGAACTGTGCACATGCTTTGAAAAGTATACAAGAAAATACCAATATTGGGTTATCTTTAAACATGATCATTCGCCAAGGGCTCTAACACCCTTGGCCCCAGGCTGCAGCTGAACGTGGGAACTTGGAGGAAGGATGGTGTGGCCTTTCTTCCCAAGGAGCTGCCAGCGCTGGGCTTGGCCCCAGCCACCCCTATCATCTGCCTTAGATGTCCGCAGGGGACCCACACACAGAGCGCTCCCTCCTCAGGCCCTTGCAGCTGAAGCTCTCGCGAGCCTTACTTGCAGAAGAGCATCTCTTCCCTGGGGACTGGTGAGAAGCAGAAGTCCCCAGTGTGGGTGAGCATCAGTGCTGGGAACGCCCCCAGCCCACTTTCCCAGGGCTTTCGATTTGTCCAGAGGTCTGAGGTCCCCTGCAGGGCCATTTCTTCAGAGGCTCGATGGAACAGCTGCCCACCTGGCAGGGAGAAGGAGCCAGTGGTGGGAGGTGGAGAGCTGGCTGGGGGCAGATGTGGGGGACAGGACGTGGGAAGCAGTTCTGATGAGAAGGAGCACTCACAGGCAAAAGTGCCCCGGACAGGGGCTCATGCTTTAGGATGAAGCTCAGAGGGCTGGTCATTCCAAAGAAAGGGGCTCTTGAGTGGAGAAAGGTATGTGGGTACTGGCAGGGGAAACTTAGGCGCATTATGCAGCCACTGCTTGGCCCTCCCTCCCCCCAGCAGTACCATAAAAACTGCGAACAAAGGCGCCCCCCAGGTGGCAAACTGGCCATTTGCATCCTGGATCTGGCTCTCAGATGTTGTTTTGTTTGGCCTGCACAATGTTTTAAAAGAAACTTGAACCAACACGTCACTTAAAAAGTTGGATTTTAATCTTTGATTGGAAGACCTGGGCACACCCCTGTTCTGGCGTGGCGACAGCTACACGGGCCGCAGGGACCCCTCACTCTTTCCTCTTGCCAGTTTGCCCAGGCCCCTCACCTCCCTATTATTCTTGGTTTCTCTTACACTGTGGGTTTTGCTTTGGTTGCCACCAGCTGCCTTCACCGACCTTACCTGCGTGGCCCCTTGTGTGGGCATTTACACTGGAGACACTCGGAGCAGGCGCTCTGTACATGCCCACCAACGACTGTTGATTTCAAGATGGGAGTTGATGGTAATTGCATTCTTGTGGACTGGCTTTGTAGACCAGTGTGCTGTGGATAGCGTGTCCTGGCTTATTTAGAATTCTGATTTTTATTTTTTTGGAGGGCTTTGACTTTGGTCCTTTGCTAGTCACTTTCCCAGGCCCATATCTTGAAAGCACCCCTTTCTGGGTCGTTCCACGGTACAATCGCCCTCTAAAAGCAGTACCTGAGCAGTGGCCCTGGGCCGCTGAGGCTTCGCGTTGATGAAAAGCCTTAGTCAGGGCCTCGCCTACGAAAGATTTGCCTGGGAGGTGGAGCTACCACCTCTTCCCTCCACAAAAAGTGCCGGAGGAGCCTTCTTTTGGGGGGAGGAAGGCCTTTATTTGGGTTGGGTATTTTTACATTTCACAGCCTCCCCCAAATTGGTGGCATATGCCCTGTACCTGACAGTGACGTGCTGTCTTCACAGGCGCCCACAAACACACGCCATGCAGGCCGTGAAGATACCAGCTGTCGCTGGGACGTGTTTGCGTGTCCTCTTCCTCCCATCAGACTGCAGCGTCGTGGGGGCGAGGTGGATGGCGAGGTGGATGGCGCCGGCCTGAAGTTAGGTCAGCCCTGCACTGGGAACTGACCTCCGAATGCTTCCCGGGTCAGACTCAGGGTGGGTGGGTGGTTTGGGGGCGGTGCTTATTCTTAAGGCAATTAAAAAATAAAGTGGGTGGAGAGAGAAACTTGTCGCTGCAGAACCTTATGTCCCAAAGATTTGTTTGCTTATGGCACACTGCCTTTGGTGGATTTTCACATAGGCATTTTAGATTTGTTTTTTTTGAATTATAAAAGACCTTTGTTCACATTTATTAAGCATTGACTATGTACCTGGCCTCGTGCTAAGTGTTTAACGTGCATGATCTCGTTTATTCCTTACCTGACCCCGACAACTGGGTTTTTCCCATGGTAGAGAAGAGAGATACGAGGTCTAGGGAGTAGAAGGTCAAGTCACTCAGGCTCACAGCGCTGGAAAGTGGCAAAACTGGGATCTGGGGTGATGACGAGGCTGAGGCCGAAATAGCCATGATTCAGTTGCACTGAGCCAAGCACCGGGCACGTGAACTATTTGTGAAATATTTCATTGAACTTGCACAAGAACCCTTGGAAGTGATTATTGTTACTCTTGTTATTGTTATGCCCACATGATGGATGAGGGTAACAAGGCTTGGAGGGGACCAAGGTCATGCAGCTGGGAAGCCAACTTTAGGGCCAAAACGTTAACCTCAGGCTGCGGCTGCCTCTCTGTCAGGCTGAGGAAGGGGGTGGGGTGGGAGAACCTGGCCCCGAACATTGGATCATTTTGATGACATGGCCCGGTTAGTGCTGAGCCCAGCAGTTCTGTGGCCGCATTATCTCCCCGGCCCGGAGATAGAGCGGCCGAGCCGCTGCGCAGGCAGCTTTGTCTGGCAGGCTCTCGGACTGTCCGCCTCGCAGGGCCAGCCATCTCTTGGGCCGTGTACAAACGCATGAAGCAGTTTGGTAGAAGAAAACTGGAGGAATTAAGTTCAGCGATAGGTTTTGTAAATGATAAAGTGCTTTGTGCTGGTATTATTATGTGGTTGACACATAATGCTAACTTATTTTGGTGCCAACTGCTTGCCTACAGTCCATTTATCCAACAGTGTCTGCTAAGCACCTACTGTGTGCCAGGTACTGTGCCAGACACTGGATACTGAACCATAAACAAAGTAGACAAGATCCCCGCCTCCCCCACACCCTGCCTTTCTCTTGGGACTGTGTATTGTAGGGGCATCCGGAAATAAAATACAAGCAAGTGAATATACAATATAAAAGGTCAGGTAGCAGTCAGTATTGTGAAGAAAAATTGAGCAGACCAAGTGGAGGGTGAGTGGCCAGACTGCTGATTCTGATGGCTGGCTAGGGCCTGGGGATGTTATATTCTGGGTTATGGGATTTTTAGAGCTCATGTTTCTTTCTTGCCTTTTAAAAAAATTGAATTTATTGGGGCGACACTTGTTAATAAAATTGTGTAGGTTTCAGGTGTACAGTTGTAAATTACATCATCTGTATATTGCATTGTGTGTACACCACCCCAAGTCAAGTCTCCTTCTATCACCATTCATCCCGCCTATACCCTTTTCTGCCTCTCCCTACCCACTTTTCCCTTTCTTTCTTGCCTTTTTGTTCTTTTTTCCTTTCCAATATTCCTTCTCAAGACAGCTTTGCTCTCTGGCTTTCTCTAGAGCTTTTCTTTCTACACTTTTTATTCTGTAGCCTGTTCCAGCTGGACTCCTTAGATGTTGGTCCTTCCCGGGTCATCTGTGAGTGGGCTGCTGTGGCTGCAGGGGCCTCGCCCTGCCTCTGGGCCTGGAACGCATTTTCAGGGTGGCTGGGGGGAATGGGGAAGGCCAGAAGCTCTACCCTTCTACACACGTATACAAACCAGGCACTTACTTAACCACCTGCTAGAGGGACCCCTCCCCCTCTGTGCCACTGCAGGGCTCTAGAGGGGACTCAAGTTCAAGGGAAGTTGGACCAAATGACCTTTTAGGAAAGGCTGCAAACTGTCATTCCATGGGCAGGAATCAGCCTGCAGATGAATCTTGTTTGGCCCTCACAGTGCGGCTTTTTTTCTTTCTTTTTCTTTTCTAATTGAATGAGTTGCTATATTTAAAAGCCAGAAAATGTGAACTTTCTGGCTTCTTTTAGAAAACCAGAATATCTGGCCACCTAATCCCACACCCTTATATGCAATGAAAGCCGCAGCTGAGTAGCAGATGCTCCCTGTATCAGCATGCAGTCTTACTTTACCACAGGCCCCACTACTCCCTATTGCCTTATACCCAGCCCACTTCACACTGTATTACCAGCCTGCTTTTGAGTTTGTGTCCTGTATTTAGATTCAAGGACAAGACTAGATCTTACCTTTCTTTTCACTTCCACCAGCCCCTGTGCAGCACCTTGCATAGATTGTATGTTTAATATATGTTTGTTGTTTTGAACATTAATTAGTTATGTCAACTTGGCAAGTCGCTTAAACTTTCTTTACCTTGATTACTGTATATCTCCATTCTTACCTCCAAGCATTGTCCATTTGTTTTTCTGTTTCTGAACCTCAGTGACTTCAGACAGAAAAAAAAAACACAATGAAAATCAAGCCAATCATCCCCAAATTTGGCTGGTCATCCAGCTGCTTG